CACCACACATCAAGAATATTTAAAGAAGCAATTCCGCAGTATCCACACTGTACCTTACCATAAATTTATAGCTCAAAAAGATTATCAACATAATGCATGTGTTTTTTAACCATAAACATAGATGTTCTGGCTGTTTGGGAAATATAAGATTTCTGATCTAACCTTCTAGCTGTAAGATAGTATGATGTGGTCTGCAGTGCAGAGATCCAATGGCATTTCCAGCACAGTTGTTCCACAGACCCTGGAGCACCCACGTTGCTGTGATGACAGAGGAAGCCCGGCTGGTGGCCCTCCATTCATTGGACACTGTGGCACCGATAGTGGCTCCTAACCCAGCCACACCACTGAGGAATGCCAAAATCTGCAAGCCTGACATTTGTTGGGTTAAGGTATGTTAGCAGTCTTTTAGTAGCCTCAAGAAAGAAGGAAAAAAAATCCGTTCAGGCTAGCAAATTACAGCTTGGACATGTGTTTCACTGAGATGATTAACAGACAAAACATCTTGCCTGCACATCCAGAGCTGAGGGGTGGACGCAGGTGTCTGAGAGTGAAAGAGTAAAGGAAGCGGGCAGTTAAGCATTACATTTTGAAGGGGACTCTGAGAAAATCTCACTTAGTTTGTCCAGATTTTCATCTAAAAATACTGTCAAGTAACACATTAACATAAAAAATAATCAGTAATAAAATGAGAGTCAAAGTGACAAAGTCCAGTCCTTGTTCATCTGTTTCTGTTTAGCAACTGAATGTCTAATGATTTGCAAGCTCATTTTAACATGTATGTTGTTTGTCATGTCTCCTGGTTTCACTCAAGAGAAATCTGTCAGATTTATCTAAAACAGAAAAAAGAAGAAAAAATTGATTTGTGTTAATTCCTATAGTTAATCAATACTAAATCAACCTATTGACTAATAGTTAAGGCATTGCCAAGTCATGTTGACATAAGAGTCAGATTAAAGCTTCCCTCTGGAAATGAGATGACCCAATAATAACAACAGTCAGCCCTAAACTGTGCCCAGTGTTGCCCTTTTATCAGCTGTCCCACCTTCATTGCATGAGCAGTGTAAATGACTACTGAAACTATCTGAAGAAGTATGAAGTATGCAGATATCTACTATAATTAAAATGCATATTATCAACAAATGCTCTTTAAAAATATAAAATAAAATTTAAAA